GTAGGACACTCTTGTGGGACACTCTTGTAGGACACTCTTGTGGGACAGGACTCGCTTCCAGGTCGCCAGATACTCCGCGTACTAAAGTTGTACTGCAAGGGTCGCCGGTTCTCAGCTTTTTGGGACACTCTTGTAGGACACTCTTGTAGGACACTCTTGTGGGTCACTCTTGTGGGGCACTCTTGTAGGACACTCTTGTGGGACACTCTTCTGGGACACTCTTGTAGGACACTCTTGTGGGACACTCTTATAGGACACTCTTGTGGGACACTCCTCTTGTAGGACACTCTTGTAGGACACTCTTGTGGGTCACTCTTGTGGGAAACTCTTGTGGGACACTCTTGTAGGACACTCTTGTGGGACACTCTTGTGCGACACTCTTGTAGGACACTCTTGTGGGACACTCTTGTTGGACACTCTTGTGGGACACTCTTATAGGACACTCTTGTGGGACACTCTTGTGGGACACTCTTGTAGGACACTCTTGTGGGACACTCTTGTGGGTCACTCTTGTGGGAAACTCTTGTGGGACACTCTTGTGGGACACTCTGTGGGACACTCTTGTGGGACTCTCTTGTGGGACACTCTTGTAGGATGCTCTTGTGGGACAGTCTTGTAGGACACTCTTGTGGGACACTCTTGTGGGACACTCTTGTAGGACACTCTTGTGGGATACTCCTGTCGGACACTCTTAAGGGACACTCTTGGGAGACACTCTAGCGGGACACTGTTGGGGGACACTCTTGTGGGACTCTCTTCCAGCTCCCCAGATACTCCGCGTACTAAAGTTGTACTACAAGGTCGCCAGTTCTCAGCTTCCAACAAAGTCGCCAGTGCTCGACACGCGCGCTCGACACGCGCGATCTCCGCAGAGGGCGCACTCTCGCCTGCATTTCGCGCACTCGACGCGCGCGATCTCCGCAGAGGGTCGCGTGCGCGTGGGACAAATCGCGCTCTCGCCTGCATTTCGCGCACTGGACGCGCGCGATCTCCGCAGAGGGTTGCGCGTCAAGTCTCCAAAACGAGCGTTTCGTACGAGACTTCCTCAAAAACTCGCACGTCAAAGTCTGCAAAACGAGCGTTTCGTACGAGACTTCCTCCAAAAGTCAAGCGGAAACACCCATCGGAGCACACGCATCACGCAGCCCTGCCAAGCAGTTTCGCGATTCCAGCCCCTCCAAACAACATCCGCTCACGCGCCAATCCCAATGTGACAGCGACATTCACCTCTACCACAACTCACAACCTCACGATTCCCTGCGCCTGCCACGAATCTTTCCCCATCCACACGTCAAACGCGCACAAAGTACTGCGCCTGCCACGAAATGTCACCTCCCACACCTCGCAACCTCACGATTCCCTGCGCCTGCCACGAGAATCGCACTTCCACGCCTCAAAACCCGCACGAAGTCCTGCGCCTGCCACGAAAAGTGACAATATCATCGCATGTGAGCTTCAACAAAATTTGCACCACACCACACGTTTGGAATGATTTCGACCCGTTCAGAGCACACTCCCATCCACCAAAATCGCCATTTCAGCTACCGAGCTTCGATGCCACACCCTGAAACGCAAATCCGAATGGCACGGCCACATCCAACACCCCAAAAAAACACGACTCTCCAAACGCTAATCCCAATGGCACTGCGCAGCAAACTGCGGATCTCACAAAACGCTGCGCCTGTGCAGCGAAATGCATCACGTTTCTTGCGCGACATGTCGGTGTCATGCAAATCACAATGGAATAGCGGCGCAAACTGACACGTGACACATCCATGAAAAGTCACTTGCAAAAGCTTCCCCCAATGGCAGCAAATTTGAGACGCGACGACGACGACACGAGACGACGAGAGACGACGACAAACGACGACACGACGCAAGCCATGCAAAGCTCCAACCCCCAGACCCTCAACTATAAACGGGAACCCTTCGCTACGCATTCGGGAAAAAAGAGCAGTCTATTATTCACGTTGTTCCAAAACTGCACTTGTCCGCTTGTCCAGAAGTTCATGCTGCAGATATGAGGCTTCAAAACCCAAACTCAAGATAAAAGGTGCTGAAGACCACTGAAGACAAGCAAGAACTACGTAACGAGAGTCACACCCTTAACTTGCCTTTTGGTAATGTGTTTTTTTCCCAATATTTTTTTCATGTTGTTTATCGTTTGTTCTATCTTATCTCTGGGGCTTCACACACACTCACCTGCCATTTCCTCGCATCCTAAACCCATCCGGACCCCTCCTCGGAACCATCATGCCCCGAAAAACACCGGAACTGACGACACGAAACGAAGGCGGAGATGCCACATGAAGCCCGCAGCACCGCCACGGGAAGCAAAGCTGTTGGGGGGCCTGGCCAGGACATGTGTGTATGTGGCCGCCGGTGGCCAGATTACCCAAGGTCTGCTGGCGCAGGATGTTTGTCCCAAACCTGAAAAAAAAACATTGATTGGCGCGCGTATACGCGAGGGTCATGTTGATTGGAGCCCGTCAGAATTGCAAGCGAGTGAACAAACCACCTATGGCCTATGGCTCCTATGGTCACTTCAGTAGGTCATTGTTGTTCATCACGGTTCTTGGCAACAATCAAAAAAAACAATCAATCAATCCATCCCGGACATTTTCCAATCACCACGCCCGCATGCCCGACCTTCTCCGGGTCTGCGACCTCTCCCAACGGCGCCGTGGACCGACCTTCTCGGCTGAGGGCTCCGCCCTTGTGCCCCGACAAAGAGTCGCGCTTCCAAGGCCGGTCCCGGCGGGCGGGCGGTGCCCGGCGGTGCCCGGGCGGGTCCGAGCGGGTGTCCGAGCGGGTGACCGAGCTTTGCGTCCAGGATTGGCAGTTCCAGGTTCCAGACTTCATGGGAAAGGAAGAATACGAAAGCTCACAAGCATCTCTCTGGTCATGATGGGCAAGGATAGGCAAAGGTGGGCCACTCGGTCGGATGTTAAGCACGGCCAATGGCAAAGCATGGTCATCCTGCCCAACATGGACCCAGATCCCACAAGATGACTGTGCCATGCTTTGCCAATGAATTTGCTTGCTCAATTGATCACAGCGGATTGCTTCTCTCCCTGAGCCAACTCGGAGTTTGCAATGTCTCCCAAAGGGTTTCAGGAGAGGCTCCTGTATCATGCTCGTCGTTTCCAATGCAAACCGCCGCAGAATGTGCTGAAGCGCTATCAGCAACGTCATCATTCATTACAGTTTGGCGAGCTGCAAAAGAACACGTTTCATATCGCTTCTTGGGTGGCAGAGCTTCCAGCTAGCCAGTTGATATTGGAACACGATGGTTTGTCTGTGGTGTCGCTCTTGCGGCGGTACTTGAAGTCTTTGAAGCACGGAGAATCTCTGTGCGATCATTTGACGAAAGTGCTGAGTAGGATTTCTGAGCGAATCCAGGCAAGTTCGGACATTGCCATGGCATGCGCAGACCTTGTAGAGGACCTGCAGCATTTTGTTCCAGAGGCCAAGGCTACAAAGGCAGCCAGGCTGATGAACCAGGCGATACATCTCTGGCGAAACACTACATCTGAGACAAAGCAAGAGGAATATGTTGCTGGATTGGAGAAATCGATTGGAGAGGTGGACCTCGACGACCTTTGCCGAGTCGGCACCATCTTCCGACGTGCGGTGGCTGCATTGTCTCCACCTCACTGCATGAGTGAGAACGCCCGAACTGCATTAGATGCTTTGCCACAGCTGCAAGGAGCAAGGCCAGATTTTCAGTTTCGGGTGCGGAAAGTTGTGCTGTTTTGCTTGGATCACTTGGATTTAGCTGATTCCAAGGTTCAGCCAGCTTTGCAGTTTCTCAAATCACTGCTCAGCAAGTATCAGGAACTTGACGCTGGCGGAGACCAGAAGATTGGTTGCAAGAAGCATTGGCGTTTGCTAGAGATGAAGTGTGGCATGTCCTCCAAGCATGCTGCTGCTGACGAGGATTCTGGTACCCCCAAGAAAGAGAAGCGCATTCTCTGTCGGCACGACAGGCGACGAGACAGTTGCCGAATTTGCCAGCCTTGCCCACATGGGCATATAAAACGGTTGTGTTTAATTTGCCGCCCTTGCCCACACGGCAAGAGTAAGCGCGACTGCATCATGTGCTCTGGTTGTGAACATGGCAAAGCCAAACGCCAGTGTCCGGTGTGCAATGCTTGCGTTCATGGCCGGCACAAGTACACATGCCCTTTGTGCAAACAGAGAAAACATCAGCGATGTTCCGGAGACACTTGTGCTGTGAGCAGACACTTTGTTCGAAAGACTTGGTCAATCTTAGTGAACTGTTGGGATTTAAATATAGTAATTATATAGTAATTACTTGCTCGATCTTGTTTCTGTCCAGGGGTCTTAGACGGGCTTTGCATTTGTTCCAAGTGGCACCCCGCGCGGCTGGGCTCACGGCAAATGCCTGGACCTTTCCCCCTTTTCACCCATCGACGTGGACCTTCGGTGCTTTGGGCACATCGTGTGCCGAAACGACGGAAACGCTTGTTTCGGGTCGGGTGTCTGTGGGCCACATGGGTTGTTCAGCCAGGGGTGACCCAGTACCAACGGGACTATGCCTACTGGCGCTGATGGATGGTCCGGTGCTGGCCTGAGAAGAGAATACGGGGGCTGCGGAGGACCACTGGTGGCTTGAAACTGGTGAGCAACGGCGCGTGCCTCCCCACGCTTCTGTATAAAGGAACAGGATGTGAGCTGGTTTGGTTTGGTATGAAGGAACTGGGGTTGGCACTCAACGACTGGACTACAGGCGAGTCCTTGCGCTAGAAGAGTGATATCTAAAGGCTCATTGTAATTTTTGTTTCCTTCACTTTGGATTCAATTTGTTGTTCAAGTTCTGAAGTTTTTCAAGTTCTGATGTTTCTTTTACCACACTTTTCCATGGCAGGGTCATGGAGATCTTTTGGCCTTCTCACATCTTTGGTGATCTTCTCACATCTCGGACAGTGATCTTCTCCTCACAGTCGATGCCTTTGTGGATTTGGCTCCCTCTTCGCAACGTCCCGAGGTCGACCCCCAACGGAACCCTTGCGCCGCACCGGCTTGGCCATTTTCGCGCGTGCGTGTGCCGTGTACAAATAGAAGTGCAGAAATGAAGGATTTCCAACTGACCTCGTATTTGTAGGGCGGAAGGTTGCAAACTTTTCCGAACACGGTTTCTCTCTCCACGTCTGTAATGTCATGTAATGTCATGTATTGTAATGTAACCCAACGTAAGGTAACGCAACGTAAGACAATGCAAAGCAATGGAATGGATGGTATGGCATGATATGGCGTACGTACGTATGTATGTGTACAAGTTGTATTCAGCTGATATATCTGATAGATTTGATAGTGCCAAGCGGATCCTCAAGATGATGCATGTGTGGTTCCTCCATTTCCAAAGGCACCGAGCCTGTATCACCCGATTTCATGGCATGCCAAGCATGTCTCCCAGACCCCTGCACCGCATCTGGAGAAAGAAAGGTGGGGATTGAGCGATTGAGTCAAACTTGATTGATTGACCTCTAGCGGTATATGCACCAGGAATCACAAGGAAGTATGGCTTACATCACAGCTCTTGAGGACAAAAAACCACCTACTACGCACACAATGTCAAGCCGCTGTGCTCATGGCTCAAGCACCCCTTGGGATCGAACATACTTTCTTACCCATTGCTTCGAAGGCCATGCGCAGGCCCCAAGTTTTGAAGCATCAAGCACACTATTCAATACTCATAGCTAGACATTCTTGACATTCTTCCTCTTCTTGAAGACAGATGCAGGCTTAGCATAGCACACACACGCACACGAAGAAGTGAAGACTTCGGTAGAGCACCAAGCTGCTTCAACACGCCCCACTTCTCGATTTGCACCGACTGGCATAACTCTTTTATATTGGCACCAAGCTCATCTCTCTCCACCAGATCCAATTTCCTCAACTTGGCTTGTGGCTATTTTCCCCATTCCTCACGCCACCATGGCGGAGCGCAGGCGGCGGAAGCAAATGGGAAGCCCCTCCAATCTCTGGTGCAGTTGCATGAAATTCCCAAATCGCAATACCCATCAAGAAGATTTAAAAAGACTGGTCTGAGGTTCTGTTGTGACCTTCTGCTCATCCGTGGGATCCAAGCATGGAAAGCCAACAGAATGTGTCTCAATTTCCATAGAAACCTATAGGGACCCACTACAAAAGTGGTCTAGAAGAGGAAGAGCATTCCTACTGCGAATGGCTCCGCATGCTAGTACAACACGGATTGATAGAGCGCTTTGGATGCACTTTGAATAGGAGCCAACTTAGTAAAGTTGCAAGCTGTTGAGGCGTTATATAGTTACCGTTAGTTGAGGTTTGTTGGACGCTACTGGTTGGCAAGTTCACAGTTTTCCTGTAGTTCTTGATGTGGGGCAAAAGGTAAAAGGTAAGAACAGCCAAAGGGGATAGTTTTTGTTGCTCCAAACATGGACATCCCTGGCTCCAGTCTTTGTTGTGTGTGTTGTTCTGGGGGGCATCTAGAAAACACCTTGCTCCAGTCTTTGTCTTTGTCTTGAGCGTGCAAACAACAGCACGAACACTGATCCAATTTCTCCACGCATGCGGTACCTTGGACCGTTGCTTCAACTGAATGGGACAGGACAGACTTCTGTACCTCGGCGGTGATGGCCGACGGCTTGTCGTCGCTTCGCAACTGCCTGCGCGTGTTCTCGTCGTCGCCAGGAACAAGGCCAACAAGTTGGATCAGTACGACTGGGATGGCGAGGCGGAGCCCACTGGTGTCCGATGTGGTTGGTGTGGTTGATATTGGTTTTCCTTCGAATTTGGTGTCTCTCGAGGTGTTTTAACATTCGGTGTCATCACCAACTGAAATATTTATCGACAGGGAAGTTCTACCTGGAAAGAAGACAATACTACAAAGTTGGTGATCGCCTGGACGAGGGGGACCCCAGGGTTTTCAGTTCCAAGATTTGCCTCAGCAGCATTGGTTGTTCCTCAAACGCATCACTGAACAACCAATGCTGCTGAGGCAAATCTTGGAACTGAAAAACCTGGGGTCCCCCTCGTCCAGGCGATCACCAACTTTGTAGCATCAGTACTACCGTATTACAAACATAATTTTCTTGCATTCTCCGGGAATCTCCCCTGGGGATCAACCCACTTGGTACAATGTAGCCCATCATCATGAGATATCATCACCAACCACGACATAGGCAAGCTGTCATTCAGGAGGTTCCGGGCTAGGCCGAGGTTTAGTGAACTAGCTCAATAAGAACCAGGGACCCATTAGTCGTGTTACCAGGGGGCTTAGGGGCACTCGATTTTGAGCGTAATATGGGAAAGAAAGCGGCCGAAAACCATGTTTCTGCTGGGATCAAAACGTGGGTGAGGTATGTGTAAGGTTTGTGGAATGTGGCATAGAAGGCTGTTGGATTCAACCGATGAACGTTTTGTTTGATACACAACATACTTCTGGTTGGTGTGCCCTGCAAGGACATAGACTGAGGGTTATGCACCCTCCTTTTTTCCAGCAACAAGTGCCAAAAGCTGGTATATAGGTTCTTTTTTCCACCCCTCGTGATAATTCTCCATCACCATTGGAGTACAGTGCCCTGGGGCCCAACCAGATGCAAGCAGCCAACTCTATGATGCATCGTGTACATGGATTGCAGAATAGATGCATTCTCTTCCATGGACATTCTCTTCCATTTCCCATGCCAACGTGCTCTTCCGGGGATCCTTTCAACCGTTGGCGGCACGGCGATGCGGCCAGCGGCCAGGCCTCCGTGGAGACCGAGACGCCCTCGGAGGTGCCGATGCCCAAGCACTTGATGCCGCTCGCGCTGCCGGCGCCCGTGGCCTGGCTGAAGAAGCTGAGAGGGGCTGCGCCCGTTTGGGATGGACAAAAACAACCAGGACACCGAGACACGATCTACAGTTGGGTGATCTTGGGAAAGCCAAACAGAATTGCCTTGGCGCAGAGAGTCACATGTGTGCTCGGCCCGCCCCACCCGTTCGGCTTGCTCGAGAGCGCCACTCCGAGGCCCCGAGCTCGGCGGATGAGAGCAAAGGCGGGGGCGAAGGGGACGAGTCCGCTTGAGCAGCTGCTACGCCGCTTGTAGGTGGTGATCTTGATGTTCGATGCTTGGATGAGTTTTTTTGAGATTTCATGAGTATTCTTCCCGTGGCAGATTCCTTCAATGCGTTTTTGGTGTTGTCTTTCCGAAATGCATTTCACGACTATGTGGGATTATATCGGTACATCATTGCAAACTCCATCCATGACGGTTGTGAGGTGTGGATGTCGTGAATCGTATCGAGGCACGACCCTGGTGGGATGGCGTCCTTGGAGAAAGTTTCCAGAACCTACTAGTGATGGCCTCCAACCTGGAAGCCTCCAACCTAGAAGCAATGGCCTCCAACCTAATAGCAATGGCCTCCAACCTTTAGGAAACTCAACTCACTCCTCTTTTAGCGGAAGATGGTCGTACCCATTTGGGTACTGACAAGATCATCAACAAGGGGTTTCCCCTGGCAGACCATCTTTACTAGCGACATGTGTTTTTTTTTTGGAAGATCGCTGGATCAACGACCGAGCCGCTTAAACCTGCAGGTCCTCGAATCCGAGCTCCTCCAGCTGAAGAAGCGACAAGAGGCCATGGAGCAAAAGCACCTGGATGTGGAAGCCATCCGTCGTGGTCAGCGTGGGACCTGGTGAAGACTGACTGACGACCCGCGGAAACAGTGCTCCACATCGACACTTCTAAGATTTTTTCAGACCAGCAGTTCAAACCAATGTGGAAGAGTGGGACTCATCGATTTGTGCACTTAGTGATGTGGGATTGATGATGATGATGATGATGATGATGATGATGATGATGATGATGATG